ATATATAGGTTCACTACAGAAGCTAATCAGTTCCAGTGTTGAGTGCAAGTTATTAGTAAAAATTTAAACAAAATTACTGCTCAGTGTGTATTGCTTACAGTGTATGTTGGGTATAACGCAGCCTACGATCATACCAAATTTTAGCTCATATTCTGTAAAACTGACGGTTGTACGGGTGGGAATTTTTACTCTCTCACCGTTCGATGCAATTCTGATTTTTGGGGCCACGATTAGATTCAAAATCGATTTTTAATTTAAAACTGATAATGTGAGCCCATTTGTCGTGTTCCCAAAGTGCTTCAGTTTCATTTTGCAAACCTTGCACTTAGTGAAGCTCATGTTAAAGTCAGACTGATTCAGTAAAAACCAAAATGAGCCCAAATCTTTGCATCCAATGAAGACAGGGCCAGTTAAACCTCTCTGTCCTCCACTTTTGTAGTTTCCTCTTAGTATAAAGTCCATATTAAAGTCATAATATTGTAGCCTTTACATGAAAAAGCATGCAGTTACCACTGCAGTAAAATGAGGAATGTTGAGCAAGTTGTTCTTTAGTTTTGCTATAAATAAATAATTATTCTTTTAGCACATTAGCATCAAATTATCAGTAGCAGGACTTGGAAATTATAATGATAAACAACTATAAACTGAAGCCGTATTGTAATTAATGGATGCACTGACGGATTTAGATGTCAAATAGCTAATTTTGGATGAAATCACATTAACTTAACAGTTTCTCATGTGTTGACGTCAGGACGTCCAACATAGTGACAAAATGGAGGCTGACAGCCATTGGATTTTCTGTATTTTATTTTAATTTAAAATTTTGATTTTTGGGACATTTTAAATCAGTTCTGAATCTTTGTGAATGAGAATTATGATTCTGATGTGAATCAGTGGTACACCCTTTCTGAGCTGTTTCCTCCATGAGCTGACTGGGGCGACCATCTGAAACTGGGTTGAATCCAAAATTGAATCAGTTTTATGGATCAGTTGTACATTCAATACTTCCTTTCTGAGAGTTTCATTGATGCATGCAATGATTCATGAGATATTTTGCAAACAAATGACACATAATTGCATCATCGCCCTTTTTTTTCTGCTTTCAGCAGAAGGTGATTAGAATCAAGTCTGGCTGCTTAGCAGGAAAATAATGCATGAACAAATCAGTGTTGGTGTAAAACTTTTGCACAGTGTAAGTATCATGAAAAATACTGTACTTTGAAGCCTCATGAATCTCGTATTACATCTGCTGTTATTTGATAGTTTTCCCGACTAAAATATTCCTAACTTAAACCCCTTCGGCTCCTAACCGGTTGGTGATTTCCATGAAACGGCTCCGATGAGGCCAAGCATCAGGAAACATTCTTCTGACTTATGTCGTGACTGTCAACCTCGACCAAAACAATAAAACAAACCACACCTTACGGTGAGTAATATCAGATGTTTTTTTGTGTTCAGCTGTCAGACTCGGGCCCAAATGTTTTGTGATCAAATTTAAGGGTAAAAGAAACCTGAGCAGAGAGAGGCAGAGGTTTGTGCAGCGAGCGAGTCTGAAAGCAGAAGTGAAACCTCCTGAAGGCGTCTGTAGATCACTTTATACAAGTTAATAACTACATGTGCCAACACGCAACCAGAGTTACACATCAACTTGATTTGTTGTTCCCTGGGAGACTTTTTGTCTACAACCCCAGTTCTAAATAAGTCGGGAGGCTGTGAAACAAAAATTCAGTGGTTTGTGAATCTCATGGAACACAGTGAACATGTCAAATGTTTCAATTAAACTGTACCATTTTTTGGGTGGGGGGGGGGGGTCATTTTAAATTTTATGGCAGCAACACATCAAAGGTTTGGACCATTGATATACATTACTGGATTGGGCGTCACATGACCTGGGTATGCTTCGCAAGGGGGATTTTTTATGCACTGAGCTAATGCTAACGCTAACCATCGAAATCAATGAGCGGAACGTAGCGTGGTGCAAACAAACACTTTATAAATGTATGAATGGTACAAATACTTTGCTTGTGTGTGTGTGTGTGTGTGTGTGTGTGTGTGTGTGTGTGTGTGTGTGTGTGTGTGTGTGTGTGTGTGTGT